CTCTGCTTATTAAATAAATGTTTTATAAAAAGACTTTGATTATATATCAAATATATAATCAAAGTCTTTTTATAAAACTATAATTATGAAACTATAGTGTGGACCAGTATGTTTTGGTTTGTATAGTCAAAAGACAATGTTGTTTGTGTGAATAAAATTCCATCAAATTGAATAAAGAATGGTTTTGTCCATTGTCCAAATTAAAAAGTGAAATTTGCAGTAAAAAATTAAAATATAACACAACAGTTGTTTGGTATAAGTTTAAATTAAAATGTGATGAAACTACAGGTATTATAACCTATTATATATAAGTGATTATTACAAATATTTATAAGAGCAGTATTAAAGACCATTTAATCTTTATAAAATCTTATGTAAAGTTTTTATTTTATTCTTTTTGTTAGGGATTGGTATAAAAACATCAGGTAAAGTAAAAACATATTTAAACTGGATTGCAGGCGTTAACATAACACCAAAGTAGGTTGATATTTTTTGTTTTACCATTATTTTTTTTTTTATGTTTTGCTGCATTATTAAAATAAAATAAAGATGGCTTGCACAGTAGAACAGAACTTAAATTTAAAGTTGTAAAGTTGAAAAAAATAGACTAGTTAACGTAGGCTTTGATAATATAGGAGCTAAAGTATTCAATAAAGTCATTTTTAAATATATCTACTTTGTTTTGTCATAATGCTCATCCGGAGAGAGCAACCAGTCAATGAAGATCTAAATAACAAAAACATTTTTTTTAAACGTATTTTTAACGTTGAGCTGCTTAGCTGTAATGGAGTTTAAATTTAAATAAATAAATAAAACATATTCTGGTTATATAATGCATATGTCATTATATAAATATTATGAAAGTAACAAAGAATGTAAACTACATTTTTAATTAACTTTTATTACTCTGCCATCATATATAATTGTCTTGGGTATGTCAATAGTGTAACATTTATGACAACTTTCAGCTAATAGTTTTTTTTACACATATTATAATCTAAATCATCAAGTTGCATAGATGACAAATTGTTAAATAAATTTCTTATTTTTTCTTCTTATTATTTTATTTATTGTTATCATTATTATCATTTCTTCTTATTATTTTATTTATTATTATCATTAATATTATAATTATTTGTTTAGTTATTTCTATTAGTTATTTATTATTTTCTTTTTTTATAAGTGCTAACTTTTTTTTAAATACTATAGTATTTATAAAAAAGTTAGCACTTATAAAAAAAGAAATTGTTATTAAAAGTTGCTAACAGCATGCTCAAATTAGAGCTAAAATTTCTTATAAACTTCAAGACAGCAAAAAATTTATAAAAAAAAAAAAGAAAGTAAAACAGTATAAAACAGCTTAAAGTATAAACAGCTTTTTCATTAACTTTCTTTCTTCTTTATTTTTAAATATTTCAATATATCCGTTGAGTATCAAATCACATTTATATCTACTAGTCTAGAGTGATTTGTCTACTAACTTTAACCTCTCAGTTGTATTCATGTCTGGTTGTTTAAACCTTAATTAAGATTTTGTTTATCGCATTTTTTTGCCTTGATTTCATTATTTTTGTTAATTTGTGATGTGAGTATTCCATTAGTTTAATTGATTTGTGATTTGATTGTATTTTTACTGTTTTTGTTTTTTTTGTTTTTTTTTCATGTTTTTAATTTATTTTGGTTTTACAGGTTGATGGTAAATAAATTGAAAACAAAGTTTAACTTAACCTGATCTAAAACAAAACAAACAAAAGAGAATGGGTTTTAAATATTTACAAAGTGTTATTGGTATGTATATTATATTTCTTTGCGCTGCTCCCACCGATATGATATATGATGCTGTGCTCGAAGTGAGGCGGGATGAAGCGGGATGCCATCCCGTCACCTTTTTATAAAGTATAAACCATCCCGCCACTTTTTTGTAAATCTCTATATATAACAATGATTAGATGGGATTGTATTTTTAATTTACCAAATACTATCCTGTTACTTTTTTTTTCGCCACTTCGAGCACTGTATGTATGTATATATACATATATGCGTATAATTATATACATATATGTATATATATAAATACAGTTTATTACAGATATCTTGACCCTCCAGGGGACCAAGGAAAACGGTTCTACTAAACGAATGTTTGACTTAAGCAATGCATAACTGCCTAAAAGGTTTGTGTTATGTGTGTATATGCGTTGATGTATGATGTTGATGTATAATATATATTTATCCAAATAGCTTGATATCTTGGTTAATAATGAAGTAAATTAAGCACGTAATAATACTTGTAAAAATATTATTATATAATAATACCAGTAAAGTGTAATAATATAACAATACTTGTAAAATGTACAAATATACCTTCCTTTAAAGATATTTTTATTTAGATGCAGTTACCTGATGTTCTTAAATAATAAGACACAATGCACAAAGAAAGAATTTAAAATGTTTGAAGGTTGCACCATATTAATTGGATCGTGGATGTGTGATAAAATGAGTCTGATAACAGAAGGCGATAAAAATACAAAACAACTATACCATGATTTCATCAAGATCGTTTTGAAGATAACTTTAATTTTGTATAAGTTTTTGTTCTAAAAATGTACAATTTATTTTTTTGGTTTTATTTGCTTTCAATAAATGCTTTTCAATTTCTATAATTTAGTTACCCATGATAAAAAAATGGTACTGGGCAGATTATTTGTAATACAATAATAACAGTTAGTATTATAATATAAAATAAACTAATAATACTACTACTAATAATAAGTGAAAGTTGTAAAAATTGAGAACAAGATGTGCAGTACAATAGCATAAGATATTCTACTATGACAGCTATTATAAGTTTATAAAGAATACTGTTTATTTTCTTACTCATAACAACACAATGTTGTACAAAAAATGAATGTTTTTTCGAATTAAAAAAGTCACGGCGCAAAAAGCTGTATTTTTGAGGTTTATAAACTCGTATATAAGTTGGTTGAATCAATGTTAAATCAACGTTAATCTTATGTTGACTTAACTTTTTTTTTTCAACGTTGATTTGTGTTTTTATTTCAACCATTTTTTAACCATAAATATCAACGGTTTTTCAACGTTGCTTCAACGTTGATTGTGCTTGCTGGGATTAGTTTGCTTCTTTTTGATAATGTCTTCCTTGAGCGTTAAAACCGTTTCTAACATTTTCTCCCTAACGAACCGTGAACCTGTGTAAGTCTAACATTTACCTCGTTCACTTTAGATTTTTTCTTAGTTAAAGGTAACAATTTAGGTAATTTTTCAAGTAATATTGATACATCAGGTATTGCTTTCATGGAAATTTTGTATTTATGTCAATAGCTTGCTGAGCCATTACAAATATCTTTTGGAGATGAAATTGTTGTTGCTGATGATGATTTATTATTTTCATATATACACAGTTCAACTCGTAAAAACTTATCTTTCTGCATCCATTCAACACTGAGTTCTTCATTTGAAATCTCAACTTTTTACCTGCATTTATAATTGTTTGTTTTGATGCCCACTTTGGTCATAACTCAGAAAATTTATTCATGAAAACTTTTCTGTTGATCATTATAAACAAAAAAAAAAGTGCAGATTTAGCACTTCTGTACTCAGAATATCAAATTGATTTAATCTAGGCGCTGGGTAACTCCAGTTTGTCAGGTAGATTGTTAAAAAGTCGAATATTTTTGGTTCTTAAAAATGTCAATACTTCACAGTCAAATCTTGAAGAATGACCATCAGATAGGACAACAACAGGCCATTTTATATTGTTTTTTTATATAAATAGAAAACATTTGATAATCACTTAACAGAACAGGAGATAATCCACTGGTAATAATGGTGGTAGCCCTCCTATCGTTACATGTTACCCGGCATGACATGAGCATCTCTGATGCTGATAAAGAGGTTTTAACGATTGAAATTTTAACCAATAAAATAAAAAATAAATTTCTAAGTTGTTATTATTGCCCACCTTCAGGTGAAAATAAAAATTTTAATTCGTTTTAATATAATGACGTTATTATAAAAAGGAACCACGAAAATAAATTTATTTACTTAGTGGGTGATCTGAATTTAGATTGTTTTCAATACCACGTCAATAATAACATTATAAGGTTTTATGATGGCATTTTTGAAAATGGTGCAATTCCTTTGATTAGCAAACCAACAAGAATTACTCAATCAAGTGCCACTTTAATTGATAATATTTTAACCACTGATGTTTTTAACGAATCATAAAAAAAGACATAATTAAAAATGACATATCTGATCATTTTCCTATTTTCTTTTCTATAAATATAGATAATAAATTAGTTCCTAATGAAAAATGAGTTTTCAAAAAGCGAATTTTTACAAATGAAAACCTTAAATCTTTTAAGGAACAATTATCTCTAATTGATTGGAGCATTATTAACACCTCTGACAAACTTTTCTACAAACTTAGTTTATAACTCCTTTTTAAAAATTTCCTATGATTCTTACGACACTAATTTCCCTGAAGTTAATTTAAATCTTAAAGCTAAAAGTATTAAATCGCCTTGGATTACAAAGGGTTTGCGGAGGTCTTCAAAAATTAAACAAAAATTATACATTAATTACTTAAAATCTAAAACAAATAAAAATAAAATTATATATAAAAATTACGCTAAATTTTTGAAAGCCTCAAGAAAAAAAAAAAAAAAAAATTTTATTTAAATTTATTAGAAACATATAAACTAAATTTTAAACGCACTTGGTTTATAATAAGAGAAATTACTGGCAGCAAAAAATGTACATCTCACTCTTTGCCAAACACGGTTAAACATAATAATGAATTTTTATATGATAAAAGACAAATTACGGAAGAATTTAATAAATATTTTGTGTCTATAGGACCAAATCTGGCAAAAAAAATTCCTATAGCTAACAGTTTAACGAATGATCTATGTTTCCCTCTAAACTCTTACTTGAACTCTTTTGAATTATCTTTTAAAGAGTTTGAAAATGTCTTTAAAATGTTAAAATCTAACAAAGCAGTAGGCCCTGATGGTATTAATGGCAACACTACTATAAGTTCATTTAATGTTTTAAAAGATATACTCTTTAAAATTTTTTCAATGTCAATTAAACAGGGAATTTTTCCACAAGCTCTAAAATTAGCAAAAGTCATACCAATATTAAAAAGTGGTGACATTGAGAATATAAGTAACTATCGTCCTGTTTCACTCCTATCTGTATTCTCTAAAGTTTTAGAAAGAATTTTGTATAATAAAATTTATAGTCATCTTACTTCAAACAATTTATTATACAGCAATCAATATGGATTCCAAAAAAATAATTATACTGAACATGCCAATCTACAATTTACAAGAAATATATCTGACTCATTTGAAAATTCTCAATTTACTTAGGGTGTTTTCATTGATTTGGCGAAAGCTTTTGATACTATAGATCACGAAATTCTTTTTAAAAAATTGGTGTGGTAAGGAATTACTGGAAAAATATTAGTTTGGCTAAAAAGTTACCTAAATAATCGAAAACAATTTGTTTATGCGGATGATAACGTATCATCTAGTTAGTTAAATATTTCAAGTGGAGTTCCTCAAGGATCCATATTAGGACCTCTCCTATTTTTAATATATATTAATGATCTACCAAAAGCTTCTAACCTAATGACAATTATGTTTGCTGATAATTCTAACCTATTTCTTTCTCATATTAACATTATTACACTTTTTAGCAATATGAACACTGAACTAGTTAAAATTTCCGAATGGTTTAGATTAAACAAACTCTCACTAAATACTGATAAAACTAAATGGATTCTTTTTCATCTTTATGGTAAAAAGCACCAGCTGCCTAGCAACTTACCTTTTCTATTTATCGATAACATAGTTATTAATAGAGTTTTAGTGACAAGATTTTTAGGTGTATATATCGATGAAAATCTTACATCGAAATGCCACATTGCCAACTTGTGCAGTAAAATTTCAAAGAGTATAGGCATACTATACAAAATAAAAAACGTTTTTGATAAAAATACCTTAATTCAATTATATTATTCGTTAATTTAATGCCATATCAACTATGCAAACATTGCTTGGGGTAGCACTTATAAAAGTAAACTTAAACCTCTCTATCGGCAACAGAAGCCTCTTTTATATAATATAAAAGCACTCAATATATATGAGTTGAATGTTTTTAATATTCTTTGTTTTATGTATAAATGCAAGACCCACCTATCACCCGTTTCTTTTCGTATTTTGTATTTACAAAAAGATAGAAATAAATATATTCTAAGGAATGATAATTTAATTCGACAACCATTTTCTCAAACTAATTTTGGAAAATTTTTTATTTCGTTTCGCGGACCATTTCTATGGAATAGTAATTCTATAGTATAGTTCTAAATTCTTCTAAAGATTTTTCTCAAGAATGTAATTTTGATTCTTTTAAACAAAATGTTAAAAAACTCATTTTTTCAACTGAAAATATACTAATCTACTTTTAAATTTTTGAAAATCCCTTTTCTATATTAGTATATGTATACATTTAATGTACATTCTTTTTTATTTATTTATTTTTTATCAACAAGCAGTTATTTAACATGATGTTTTATTTTAATGAATTATTTAACATGTTTTAGTTTTTACGTTTTAGAACTCTTATATTGTAATATTGTATGTTTATTTATAATATTATATTACGAACTTTATATACTTTAAAGAATGAAAACATTGAAAAAAATAAAAAGTTAAAAAAAAAAAAAAAAAAACGTTCAATAGCGGTTTCTCTGTGACAAGACCTGATGGTCTTCTTTGAGTATCCGCGTTCTTTATAATCATTTTTATTCTTTATTACTTAACGATATCTTGACTTGTTACCTTTTATTTTTTTCTTTTTATATTATTTGTATCTGTATCATAAATATTGTAATACAAAACAAAAAAAACAAAAAATGCTGAAATTGATTCAACCGATAAGGATAACATGGCAGCAGCTGATATCATTCTACCTGTTCAGTGAAATTATATGTTTTCTGAAAAGCAAAATCAATATTTTAACAATGGATGACAACAAGAAGTTAAATTGTTACTTTTACCTTGAAGAGAAAATTAACGAAGCAAGAAATCTCATTTCAAAATTACTGGCTGAGAAAAAAACGGCTTTCAAAAAAAAAGGTGTTGAAAAATGCAATAAGAATATTGAAGATATTCTTATGGTTTTCCTGGATCTATTAAATGAACTACCCATTTTTATGCATGCGACTTTTCAAGGTTACCTCCAGTTGGTAAAAAACATATTTATGTAAGTGCACTCATACAATAGGTAGCAAATCTTCGAGCCGAAGTGAGGCAATTTGTTCAGTTGAAAAATGATCTAATAAGCATGAGAACCGCCATTTATAATCTTATCACTTTTTTTTTTTTTTTTTTTTCTTTAATTTTACTACTTTGTGATTTAATAAATATTTGTTAACAATGTGTAAATATATATATATATATATATATATATATATATATATATATATATATATATATATATATATATATATATATATATATATATATATTATATATATATATATATATATACGTGATCGTTCTTTAGTTTAATTTTTTAAGATTTCGTATTAATGAAATATTTTCAAAATAAATAAATAAAATTTCTTATGTAATATATGCTTAATATATTTGCAGATAACAAATAATTAAGAATTAGGAATTGAAAACATAAACAAATTTAAAGTAAAAAAAAAAAATAGATTCCGTTATGAATACATAGATGCGTTATACAGTTATAAAATACCTTTAACGAAAGTGTTGAACTTTTTGTTAAAGGTTTTGTTATACAGTTTTAAGATACCTTTAACAAAGGTGTTAAACAACTATCAACAAATTGTTAAATTATAGATTTTATTAATGCAGTGTTTAATATAAAGTTAAAAAAGAAACAAAAAATGAAATGAATATAGATATACCATCCAAAAATATCATCAAAAAATGAAAAGAATATAGATATATCATCTAATATAATATCTAGTTGCTGTCGAAACTGATCGAGCGGAGTACAATCCGTATCTTGACAGACCAGGCGTCTTGCAACATGATGACTTCCCACCGTTGAGGAATGGATCTTCACAAACTCTTAGTTCTGATATCTGAGTCAAAAAAGTAATAACAAGGAAGCAAAATCATCAACAAGCAGCACAAAATGGTATACAACCAAAAAAATCAAAGGGCTATCTTTTGAGATCATCAGTGACAAATATGCGATTGAAATCTATGGCAAAAGATAACAACAAAATTGTCGATATAATTGTGTCGTGTCTTGAATCCTTTACTACGGACAACGACGTAATAGAATGCACTTATAATATTTTGCATATTAAAAATAATAAATCAGTTAAGTGTCAAAAGCTGAAAACAAAACATAAAGAATATTTATCTTACTATGTTGCTGTGTCGATTCTCTTAATATGAAGAGTACTGTTGATAGCCAACAGAAGTTTGGCTAAAGGGGTTATTAGTGCGAAGATATTTTCTACCCAGAAATGGCAACCAACTATAAATCATTGTCTTTTTGTTCATTCAATTGTAGGTCTTTAAAGAACAGTTTATTTTCAATTAAAAATTTGTGTTATTACAAGAACATTAGCTATTGCCGTGTGACTTTGATATATTGAACAGTATACATTCTGATTTCTATGGTACTGGATTGTCTGCAGTCAACATATTATCAAATGTACTATATGGAAGGCCTTATGGTGGTACTGCGATATTGTATCGCAAAGGTCTTGAAAGCTGTATTAAAATTGTTGAATCGCTTGAATCAAGGATTACATGCTTGCATATTGATACAAATATTGGACCGGTGCTGAATGTATACATGCCCACTAATTAATACGATGAGGAAAGTCTTCAAGCCTATATTGATATATGCTCCAAATTAAATGCTATTTTAGTAGAAACAGATTCAGTATACATTATTATTTTAGGTGATTTTAATTGTCATGAAAAGTCAAGGTTTTATAACAAGTTCTCAAATCTTGCTGCCGAAAATAATCTGGTTAAATATGATATAAACAGGTTAAATAATGCTTTTACCTATATCAGTGATGATAGTAAGAATACTACTTGGCTAGGTCATGTCTTATGTAGCCATGCTTTGGATAAACTAATTGCAAATGTTTCAGTATTAACAGAAGAAATTGCATCAGATTATTAGTTTTTTCAGTTTTATGTACAGTAAATAGCAAAGCTTCTGCAATAGATTCAATAAATTAATTAAAGTTCTTAATATAAATGAGTCTCAATATATATGAGCCTCAATATATATGAGCCTCAATATATATGAGCCTAATGTTTTAATTGCTTTTAGCTTTATGTATATGTGGAAAAATTACTTATCTATACTTATTTTTAAAGATATCTTTTGTTTAAAACCAAAAAACATATATACACTAAGAATTAATAAACTTATACATAAACGCTTTTATTGAACGAAGTTTAATCAGTTTTGTATTGAATATCGTGCGTCTTTTGAATAAAATCATTTTGTCAAATTTCGATAAGTCATAGTTTTCCGATTTTTAAATATAAACATAAAGAATAATCGCAACATAAAAATACTTGCAAAGTATTCTATTTAGTTAAAACCGGGTTATTTATTTTATTCCTAAGAGATTTTCAAAAATTATTATTTTTGGTTTTTTAAAAATATTTTAATTATTTTATTAACGCAAAAGTTTTTCTTAAAAAAGAAAAAGCACGCATAACTGTTTTAAAATACAGCAAAATAATTGATTGGAATTTTAAGTTTAAATAAAGTATTTGATCGTTTAGTATATATAATTTGATTAAAACTTTATTTATTTTTCTTCTTTGCATTTTTACTTAAATAAGAATTGTTATTTAAAAGTAGCTAAGTTTGATTTATATTAGGTGTCATGGTAATTAGAAACCATAAGATGTGTTATTAAAATATAAGATTTATTTTAGCACTTTCTTTTGCTCCAAAGAAAAAGTCTACACTTAACAAATTATTTAGATTTCAAGAGAAATGCTGAATGGAAATGGTAACTTTAACATTTTATGTTAAAATAGTAAACATCTGAAGAGTGAAACAACAGCACAAGCTAACTTTTTAAACGAATATTGTCTTTACATGTTTTTGTTCCCTTCTTATTGCAATTTTAATCAGCTATTTTTTGTCAACACTTGCCTATTAAATCTAATTTCGTCTGATTTACACAGGAAATCAATTTGTTAATATGTTTATTTAGTTTTATTTGTTCTGGTTTATTTAGTTTAGTTACTTTTTTTTATTATCATTTCTTCTTTTATTGCCTCATTATATATTTTTTTAATTATTGTTTATTCTTTTATTGTCTCATTATGATAATTCATGATATAGATCCAACCTACTCCGAAAAACATATCGCAAAAGAAAATTATGAAAATTTACCAGGAATTACCACTAATGGTAAAACAGGTACGTTTGCTACATTTAACTTTTAAAACATTTTTTTTTTATAAATACGATAAACAAGGTAATGATGTTGTACAATCGAGGTGCAAGGTACTTGCACCTCGATTGTACAACATCATTACCTTGTTTATCGTATTTATAAAAAAAAATGTTTTATCTTGTTTATCGTATTTATAACTGTTCTACTATTTATAAAAAAAAAACTGTTCTATATCGTATTTATAAAAAAAAATGTTTTATCTTGTTTATCGTATTTATAACTATCGTATTTTACCTTGTTTATCGTATTTATAAAAAATCAGGACCCTAGTGCTATGAAATAGCGCCTAAAAAAGTTCAATCTTAATATAAACCTTATGACTATGTTATATTTTTAAAGTTTATGAAAATGTGATAAATTTAAATTAAGTATTGATTTAGCTTCAGCTCCTCCCCAAGCTCCTCCCGGTTATTTTGAATCACAATTAACTCATCAACAAGCCGGTATAAACAATTTTCAGCATGCTAATAATCCTAACTTTCAAATTAATCTGCCTCAACCACCGTGTCCAATGGAAATGAATAACAATCAATTTAAACAACTTCGAGCTCCATATCCAATAAAAACTAATAATTATCAATATAACCAATCCCAAACTCCATATTCAATGGGAATGAACAGTTTTCAGTTTAACCAACCAGAAACTTCATACTTAGTTGAAGCAAACAATACTCAGTTTAACCAATCTCAAGTTCTATACCCAATTGGAATGATCAACTCTCAATTTAATCATCCTCAGCATCAACTACATAATCCACAGTTGCCAAGCAATACCAATAATACCCAAATTAGTCAGCCTCAGGTAATTGTAACTTTACTTGTATTGTTATCAGTTTAGTAATAGGTTCTACTTTTAACATCAGTTGATTTAGATAACATGGAAAATATCTTTTTTATGTACCTTTAACAATCCTCTTCTTTTTTAGAATTTACTCAATTACTAAAATTACTAATCTCAAGTACAAAAATGTATTGGGATAGTTAATAAATTACGTTATAAAAATGGAGGGTTTGCAATTAAAATATTTTTATAAAATGGGAAAAATGGGATGGTAAAATCGATTGTTAAATATAAATCTATCATCATAAAGTATAAATAAAAATTTCAAAATAGCATTTTAACAATTTATGTATAATATGTTAAATGCCCGGTAATAACAGAGTATAAATAAAAAATGAAATATAAATAAAGCAACGCATTTAATATTTGGTACATATTTTGCTTTAAAATAATATTTTGTGTGGGTAGATAAAAAGTTTTATTTTTTTCGTACTTTCAAAAGCCTCCTACCTAATGACTTTTCTTTTTCTAGACATCTAACATAATAAACGTTAATGTTAATCAACCCACTAAAGAAAACACTGTTTTTGTTCAACATCCTCAAAATCACATGGGACTCGCTATATTTTCGTGTTTATGCTGCTTTTGTCCTGTTGGAATATGTGCTATTTTCAAAGCTTATGAGGTAATTTTAAATTCGAGATTATAAGAGCAGATTCAGGTTCCCATTTCGTTTATAATGAAATTATTAAATTATTTTATTAATATAAAACAACTTTATGTTACTGTTAAGATGCCATAGCGAAGCTCTAACTAGAGATTGAGTCCGAGATTTGTTGCCCGCTCTAGTCATTAAGGAAAAATTGGTGAGGATGGCGACAGGAAATTTCTTTAATAAATTCAATTCCGCGGTACTTAATTAAATTAAACAATATTCTTCCGTAAACAAATTCATAACAATATATAAGCAAAACACATATCGAAAGACATTAAATTAAAAATACAACCAAATACTTTAAGTTGTATAAAATGTAAATACATTCAAAGACACTTTTAATATTAAAGTATTTAAAATAAATAAAAAAAAATTTTTGTAATAATTTTTTGTTTTAAACCTTTTTTAATAAGCAAATAAATTTGTAAAATCATATCTAGGTTTACTTAAGAATTTGAGTATCAATTTTGCACCATTTTATTACTAACTTGATTATTTTTGTTGTTTGTAAAATCTTCAATATCTTTGTAATTATATTTAAAAAAGTTAGCGAATAAAAAATTTTTTTTTTGATGATATAATTTTTTGTGATAAAAAATGAAACATCAAAGTTTAAAAGTAAATGAATTTATGAGATGATATTAAAAGTTAATGAAAAATTATTTTAAATTTAAAATTGTAAAACTACTTTTGTTTTACTTTCGTTTATTTTTACAAAATGAATTAATAAAATTAATTATGCGAAACACTTAAATTATGCTTTTTGCGAAACATTTAAAGTAGTTAAAATACTAAATTTTCAAAAGATAAAATTACAATTTAAAACTCTGGTTATAAATATAAAATAAAAATTTGTAGACATTACAGAGAAATATTAACAAATATTTCTCTGTAATGTCTACTACAAATTAAAATTAGAATTGTTACAAACCAATAAAAATTATTATACAAATTATGATACCGTACATAATAATAAACTAGCTGAGATTGGACCTGTAAAAATACGGGTCTTTGTGAGTCTATTCCAAACTAACCTTTTCTTAACTTCTACCCTATACATCCTAGCTTTCCGGATCGGTAAAATACGGTCTTAACCAAGCCTAGCATTTCTATCCATATCAACATATTATTAAGCCAGAAATTAAACTTTATTAGAAAATATTTTTGCGATAAAATTTTTGTTTTATTTTGATTAAAAAAATAAAACAAGAGCATTATATTATATATTATAGAAGAGCATTATATTACTATATTATAGTAAAAGAGGCTAAAAATAAATGCTACCCTGAAAACATTTAGGTCAGTGACTACTCTGCAGAGGTACCATTACAAGACCTTCTTTTTCATACTGCATCAAGATTATGTTTAGCTTTTAGTGTTGTGTTAAATTCACCTGTGCTTAAAGATTGTACTAGACTATTTCTAATATACAAAGCTTGCTTTGATGGTGCAACAGGGCAATCTGTTTATAAACAACAGTCAGATGATACAAGGGAACTTAATACTGACGAATCGCTTTTCATAACTTGCTTTGCTTCTCTAGAACTATATTGTTTCAAAGATGAGAAAAAACAGGTTGTTTGGAGAAATCCGAAACCATCGTCAACTAATTACTAGGCCTCTCACATTTAAATATAGAAAAGAATCAAAAGAAGTAGTTATTGCAGAATACGAGTCATTTATGGCTTCTATTAAAAATATAACATTATCAAATGTATCTGTTTTATTGGAAGACGGAAGTTGATGAAGGAAGAAAATGAAGGAACAGCATATTGTAAATATAACAATGATAAATGGAAAAATTTAAACTATTATTTCCACAGCTACCAAATCTTACCAATGCTGCAGTGCATCTCCAACCGAAATGAACAATCTATCTTTAATAGTTCAAAAAAAAATTTTAGAAGGCAATATCAGACATGGTGCTTCATCTTTGCATGCTTGGATAAGGTTTTTAGACTCAATCAATCAAACATATTCTAAAAAATATTTTCATGGATATTAGCAAATAGTAATTCTACTAATCTTAAGTAAACACCAAAAATATAGATCTTTATATATATATTTAGTAATAATTATAAGAATAGTAATGATAATAATAAAAATAAATTTATAGTAATAAATACAGAACCACAATAATAAAAAAAGCAATAGCAATTATAATAGTAATTATTATAGTAATAATAAGTCACTAGTTTTTCATAAACACATAATAGCTAAATATACATATAAGTTAGTTACAAACAGTTGAATGATAAAACGTAACAACTAACAAGGACATAAAACAGTTATTTAAATTGAAAATAATAAATTAGGAATAATAATAGTAAAGCTAAAAGTAATAATAATTGTGGTTACGATAAATATTTAAACTTAAAAGAATTAACACTATAACAAAAAACATAACAAAAATATCATAAAAATTAAAGATAAAATAAAGAAAAACAAAAAAGCTTTAAAAAAATGAGAAATTTTAATTGTTACATGCATACACAAACATAAAAATTAAGATATAAATACACATACTTACCCACATGCATAAATACACACATATTTGCAGATAAATACATGCGCGCGTACATGCACTCACATGCATATGTATACATACAGATTGCATGCAGATCATATTTCTTACAAGATGCGAATTATGAAGTGGCAGGATAGGACTGAAGAAGAAAAAAGTATTGTTAAACTGAGAAAGATTCAATTTCAAGCTGAATTTCGAAAAATGATGGGTTTTGTCATTAATAAACTAAAAGTAGGTGGGGGAGGTACATCAAACAATGGTACACATTTAGGCAATTTTTTGAGCAATATAATGTCTCAGCTAAAATAATGAACATAGATACAAATTTTATGAAAAAGTTTCATATTATTCTGGCCACAATGATATGTGATTATGACATTAGCTCATCAAAAGTTAAAATATTCTGTTGGGAAACTGTTTTGCTATATGTAGACTTGTACCTTTGGTATCCCACGACCCAAACACTTCATAAAATTTTGATTCATGGCTATGAAGTCATTGAATTATTTTCTCCTTCCATTAGGCATATTTTGTGAAGAGGCTCAAGAGGCTACCAATAGGATTTTAAAGATCTTTCATGAAAATTTCACGAGAAAATTTCAACCATTTTTTCATCGTCTTTTATGTGCATCTGTTTCACCGTTTTTTATGTCCCGCCTTTTATGTCTCCGTCTTTTATGTCACCGTCTTTTATGTCACCGTCTTTTATGTCACCGACTTATGCATTTGTTTCATCGTCTTTTATGTGTATTAATTTGCACATTTAGAAAGAAGATGCATAACAAAAAAAAAGTCAACCGCCTGGTGTCATTGAACTGTTGCATAAGCCAACAACAGATTATTATACTTAAAATATAAATTTAAATAATATCCTTGTTGTTAACTTGTTGGGTGATTTAACGAAATTTTTTATAAATGGAAAAAATTGGAGTTTTTGAATAATTTGTGTAATTATGTAATAAAATGTAAAGTTTTTTCAAAACAAATGTTATTTTTTTGCAGATTGTGTTTTTCTATGTAAACTGTTTCTAATAAAAAAAGGTTAAAAAAATTTGTGTTTTGGGATTTTTGCAAGAAAACTTTACTTTTGCATCCGGTGCAATCGTTCCTTCGGTCACGCTACGCTACAGCGTGACATATTATTTCTTTTGGTATTTTTTTAAATTATCATTTTTTAGAAAACAAAAATCACTATTAAACTATTAGTTAGTGTGCGGGTATATAATTTATTGATAATACCAAATTAGATGGGTTTTAAATCTTTTTTTTAGGTCGATTCAGCATTTGCTGTGGGTCAGTTTACACGTGCTCAAAATGCTTCTAATGCCGCTAGAACCTTAGCAAGAATAGCGATTCTTGTGGGATGTCTGATCATTTGTGGGTTTATTAGTGCTATGATAGTAGCTGTAGTAAAGTTTAAATAGTTTCAAAGTTCGAACAGGTTTTTATTAATATAAAGTTTATAAAATTATTAATATAAAGTTTATAAGTTAAATATAATAATTTATAAAGACGTAAAAAATGTAAATAAAAATTTGTGAAGGATTTTATTTATCTTGTTTATATCCTTATTTATAATTCAGGATAAAATATATAAATGTGTATCTATTTGTTTAACAATTTATTCAGATTTCTCTATAGAGAATGTAGAATTTGCCTGAATCTGAGGTTATAAATTAACGATTTAAATATTCATATAATGAATGTGAATATCTTGTCAACATGCATCATTGCATGTTGATATTACTACATACGATTAGAGTAGAACAGGACTAGTTAAACATAAGGGTTAAGCTGGGAAGTAAAGTACTTTATAATTTCTCATTGCGTGACAAAATATCTAGTGGATGATAGAAAGCGCCTAAAGAAAATTTGGATTTTTCAAATGATTCTGTAAAATATTGTATTATTTGAAGTACAGTAGATAATAACCTTTTTTTTAAATACGCTGTGAAACCTTTTCCAAAACATAAATAGTTTTGTCCAAAACACAGTTTAATAAAAAATATTTAAATTTTTAAAAATTTTAATTGGTCAAAAAAAAAAGTTACTTCATAGAAACAAGTCAAAAATCCTTTTTTTTTCTTCCGTACAAACTATAAATATAAAAAAACAAAGTTTGTCAAGTTAGATTGTTGCTGACTTGACATTTTAATAAACATTTCAGTTAAGAAAGGTTTCTCAAGGGCATCATCAGACTTAGCCTGGTAAGATCGGATGTCCATAGCTCGGAGCCCTCATTCAGCAACCTCATTCGTTCTATACACATATTTTAGTTTGACTTCAACACCAATAATATGTCTAGTCAGAGCTTAATGGATTGTGATGCAAGCTGATGTCACCGCTTTCAGGTTCACCAAATTGGGTTCCTCCCTCATTCTAAACTATGCATGTTACCAAGAACTGCTTATAAGCTTAGCTATTTCTTTCAATGGTTTTGCCTTTCTTCGGGGATTAATTGCTTTTCCTTGGGGATTAGAAAGTAGTCCAGTAAGATATAAATTGCTTTGCTGCCTTATCTTGCTAATTGAGAACATGACAATATAGTTAGTAGCTCTAGTTTCAGTAAAATATTCGTATCCAAGTAATGTTTGAAGGAAATGCATAAACTGAAGAAAAAATTACATACACAATAGGGATATATAATGCATACATATCATTGATGTTGAAAAATAAAAAGTTTAATGAAACAAACCTTGTCAATAGTCTATGATCATCTCTCCAAGTTTTTACAGTAGGAGGAGAATGAGGCGTTTTATGCAGGACATTATATGATTCATTTAATTGTGGATACTTATCTTTAGGTTTCTTTATAAACTTAAAATTAGTTAGAACAAGTGATTTTGATGGTAAATGGAAAGTTACCTTTTTTTAAAAACAAGATCTCAAATGTGAGTATTACAACCATAATACGGAACATGTCTGTTAAATAGCTCAGTTCGTAAAATATCTTTTATTATACCAGAACCTTCACAAACTCCACCTAAAACAAAATATAATTGTTTATTGGATCATACATATCTATAAATAAATAATAATATTAACTTTACGAACCAGTATTGAAAGAGCAGGTGTCGCAAATGATATATTATCAACAACATACTCTTTCAACGTTACCATAGCTGCTAGATTTTTAAAAGTTCCACTAGTATGTAATGTTTTGAGGCCGATGTTCCAAATATAAAAAGGACAATGACCATGCGTTCCACTTTCTTAATGCCGTAACCATATGGTGCAACAGCTTTACCATCAAAATGGTAAATTTTAATAAAAGATAAAGGATATCTTAATTGACAAAGTTTAAAAAGAGCTATGATTTGCAAGCTATTACCAGCTCTAAAATTAGCAGATTGATGTTGAGTGGGAATATTATAATGGAAATAACATAATGAGCAAGTTACTCAAGCTTTTTTGTCGGTAGAGATTCCAGCTTCAGCACATATCAAGCAACTGACATTGCCTTAAATTAAAAACAAAGTGAATATATTTTTTAAAAAAGTAATAACTTTTGTTTTGAGAACTATTATTAGGTACTAACTTTTGATTTAAGTTTCCATTTGGGTGGTTCGAATGAAGGCTAAAAACCATCAGTCATCATCATTTTGAGAGCTTGATTCTGAATATAATTGTTCTAGATAGTCAAGACTCAGGTTTTTTATCATCAATTGCCTATTAGCAGGATACTCAACAGTTTTCTGACTGGTGGATAAGCAGCTCTTTCTATCAGCCATTTGATGATTATAAAATATTTATTCTTCGTTCTTCATTTTTCTTTTTTTTTTCAAGAATATTAAACGGCATAAGAAAACCCATAGTTGATTTTCTCATCAAACATGTTTTAAATTCAACAACAAGTTTGGTTAATTTTCCGGTATGCCAGTTCAGATTACTAATGGTAAGCTAAATTTCAAATTTCAAAGCTAATCCAAATCTTTCACTACTGTTTGTATAACAACATTTGATGGTGGTGCAGGGTATATGTCAATTAAATGATAATAGCAGCCAAGAATGTGCCTAACTTTTCGAACAGCCAAGAAATTGGCTAAATTTTTTGTTCGTAATCTATATGGAGCAGCTGAAACCAGAAGCTCCCTTGATTCTTTTGAACACGGTAATCTAGAGTTATCTGCTTTTCTCTTTGAGGCTCCATTGGCACTTATGCGGTTCATATTTATGGAAATATATTTATAACTAAATTAGAAAACAAAATAAAAGTACTTTTTTTCTTCTCCAACAATGATAGTTAAGCTAAAATCTAATTTAAAAACGATATAAACATTTTTTAATAAAGGGTAGGGGAAGTGGGGGCATAACCGCATATGGAGGCACATCCGTTTTTTTACATTTCCCTTTGAAAAGTGTTATCTAATACCTTTTACGTTTCTGAGAAGTTGTGCATGATATTTATTTTGATAAAAATATTGTATTTACATCATATTTTTCCAGACCTTTTTTTGAGGTTTCAGCAATATTTAATTTTAGTGTTAAAGATATATGTTATAAGCATTATTGTATAACATAATCTAATAAGCAAGCTTTGAAACTGGATTCTTTCTAAAAACTGTCCTCTGGGGCAGACCACATAGACGCACAGGAGGCACAACCGCATACTTTTCATATTTATCAAAGTTAGGTAATTACGAATAACAATAAATACAATCGTCACATCTAAATGGGTTCATGTAAAAACTTGAATAGAAACAGTTTTGTTGGAAATTAGATTTCGTATTTTTTTATTTATTATTTATAAATTAGTTTTTGAATAAAATATAAAGCTAAGAATATATTGAATGAGAAAACTGTAAGTACAAAGAATGTATCCACAGTATGAAAACGTGCAACAAAACCAGCAAGTACAAAAAATGTATCCACAGTATGCAACAAAACCAGCAAATAATCTGAGCTGTGACAATTGTAAAGTAAATGAACCATGAAAAGTGTATCCCTAACAATTTTTGTGAGGGTGCGGTTGTGCCTCACAATGGGGGGAAAACCGTTTTTTTCTCTAAGTGTAGTTTTTGTGTAAAAACATTTTCAAAAACCGCTAAATTTTTTTCTTAATTTCATCAATTTAATGCTTAATGATGTGGTTATTGTAAAAATAAATTAGTTTTTTATTATGAAAAATTCGTTTTTGAAACGATTTTTTTTTTCGTTATATAAAATTTTCATAAATATCTATTGAAAAGAAAATAAGGAAATGATTAGATATATCACTTTTAATAATGCCTTTTTTAAGCGAATAATTAAAAATATCGTTGGTTATAATGTTATCAATTAAGGAAGTTGCGGTGTGAGAAATTCTAGTTGGTTTGTTTATTAGAGGAACTGCTCCATTTTAAAATAGGCTATTATAAAACCCATTAATCTCTTTTTTGACGTGATACTTAAAGCAATTTAAATTCAGATCATCTAATATGTAAAGTAATTTCTTTTCGTGGTATGTTTTATTTATAATATCATTATGCAAAAATGTACTAAATGTTTTAATTTTGCCAGTAGGTGGGCGATAACAACAGCTAATCACAATGCTTTTAGTTTTATTGATCATTAATTCAGTCGTTAAAAAATCTTTATTGACGTCAGAAATACTCATGTCATGCCTAATATAATACCTTTTACATAAATAATTAAACTACCGCCGCGTTTATTTGTTTTCCGCCCTAATGAAATCGAATTATAGCCCGGTATTTTAAAACTATTGTCTAAATTTAAGTCATCAGAACTAGACCAAGTTTTAGTTAGACATATTCAACTAAAAATAATTAGATTTTCCTCAAAACTATTGCGAAGATTTTCAAAATTTTATGGTAAACTTCTTATATTTATATGAATTGCGTTAAATTTATCACACTCTAGAAATTTTTTTATTTCAAATTATAAAAATAGCTACAGTTGCTTTGTAAAACATCAGCTTACAGTTTATTGTAAAGCATCAGCTTCACTAAAATAACTTTGATTTGGATCGGACTCTTTGTTAAGTATAAAATCATTGAATTGAAAGATATCAAAATTTTTAGAGCGATTTGAATTCATTTTAGTATTTAAAAACAATAAAAATTAAGAAAAAATAAAAATAAAGATAAATTCAGTAACTCTACGATAAAAGAATTTCTTAAAAGTTGCGCGTTACAAGTTTATTATATACAACTTTAGCATATTTACCTTTGGCTCTCAAATCTTTTGCTTCTTTAAATAATTGTTTTCGCAATTCTAAAGTTCTTTCGCTGTAATCTTCGTTTACATAAAATCGATCGTTCCACAACTTTAACTGAACATAGTTATCCAACGCAGTTTTTTGTCTTTGTAGTTTAAAAGTTTAACTATTGTGGTTCTGTTGTACTTTTTCCCATCGCTACTATTTTTCCCCGCCCTGTGCGCCCGTTCAATTAAACTTTACCTTTAAATCTAAGTTTTGTCTTTAAAACATTTTGAGTTTTTTCTTTGCTCAAATCCCATGTTTCATTTTCGTCTTCTTTGATTCCCGTAAACCTAAGGTTATTTCTTCTGCTCCTGTCTTCCAACTCAGCTAGTTTGTCTTTGAAAACAACGTTTTCTGTATCATTTTGGTTTGATGATAAGTTTGGCT